TTAAAGAAGTACTATTACAATAAAGATACTAATTTGGCCAGAAATGTTTTGCAGGTCTCTATTATTTAAGAAAAACTTCATGAATGAAAAATTACTTTAACTTGAAATATTGAATCTTAGCTCATTTTTAGAAGGTTACAGTCTAGAATTTTGGTAAAAATAACTATAAATATATTTACTGAAAATTGAAAAGCTAAATGAAAATTAATTGTACCTATTTACAGTAAAATTCAAAATATTTGTTATACAAATGTAAGGAAAAGTGTCCAGAAATTTGAAGTTTCAGTTGGGTTAAAATATATTCATGCTGAATATAAATAGGTTTAAATTTTATGTATTATCAATTAGAAAAAAACTTAATTATTATTTTGGTTTTATACCTTTGTACTTGTATAAACAAAATCTAAACATGCAATAATTCCCTTACATCTAGGTAATGATACACCTAAAAACGTTTTGCTCCCTTTGCACTTGTATAACAACACTAAAACTATGCTCTTTACACTATTATGTAATATTATCAGAAAAACCTAACATTAGAATACGATAATCAATAAAGAAAAATGATCCTACTTATTTTCCAGTACTTTAAAACTACCCCCTTTTGTTTCTTTCTTATGTAATAGTATAACAAAAACTAAGACTATCCCTTTTGTCTTTAACTTTTTTTAAAGATATATTCAAAAACTAAAGCTCAACATTTTTTCTTTAGTGGTCTGTTTTATGAAAAACACCTGAAATTTATCAGACTAAATGATAAATTTGTGCCTTTCACCCAGAAGGATCTCAGTTATTTGAAAAAGGTGAGTCTGTTTGTCAAACAAGTTAAAAAAGTTATAACTACTTAAATATGTTTATTGTAAAGTTACTGAGTGTATGTAAATGTATCTTTCATACAGTCAGTTATTTTATGTGGGCCTGGCAAATCAAGTCAAAATTTGACTAGAATATAAGAGATAAATCAAATAGAAAATGTGTGCATATGTTTTTAGAAATGTAAAATAAATAAAATAACAATGGTATGAAAAAATAAAATGTTTGTCATAATTTATTATGTGTATTTGAGTTTTGTTGTTACATATCTTTTTGATTCCTCTTCACGTGTGATGTCAGAATTCATATGGTGTAAAGTTTTAGTTTTTGTATTGAACTCATAAGTAATGTATTAATTATATATTATGCTGATTACTTTTATGCATCTGCTTTTTTAGACTAGGACAGTCTTTAATTGTATCTCATTTTACATTTATTGATTCATACTACTGTTTAAAAGTATAATCATCTATGATGCTATTTGATTTTCAACATGGCTGTTCTTAAAATATAGTTTTACTTTTACAAAAGACTTATTTTTCTCTAAAAGTTTATTCTGTCTTCTAATCTGCTCATTGAAAAGTTGTCTAAGAAAAGCAGTTAAATTTTGAAGTTCTCATTGCTCTACCAAAAGTTTTAGCCTGCTCATTTCAAAGCACTTTAACCCTTTTCAGATATCCACTGATTTTTTCACTGTAGAAATTCTTAACTAAAATGCATTGATCTTAGTAAAAAATGAATCTAGTTTTGTCTTTAAAAAGAATCTTATAATTTGATTATTTTTATCATTTTTTGATCTTGTGAAATTTCCCAAATTTTGTAGACAAAATGTTGTGAAAAAAGTTAGAATTTCAATATTTTTTATTGTTGATCAAAAATTTCCATTTTATATATGCAGTTGGTTTCAATTTGATCAACTTTTATTAACATTTTGGCATGGCCTGGTGGTTAGGAACTCAACTCACAATCTGAAGATTGTGGTTTCAAATCTCCATCACTGAACATGCTTGTCCTTTCAGCTGTGGTGGTGTTATAGTGTGACAATCAATCCCACTATTTGTTGATTGAAGAGTAGCCAAGAGTTGGCGGTGGGGGTTGTTGACTAGCTGCATTCCCTCTAGTTTTTCACTACTAAATTAGGGAAAGCTAGTGCAGATAGCTCTTGTGTTGCGATGCATGAAATTCAAAACAAAACAAACCATTAACATGTTTCTTTTGATACTTTATTTTACTGGTTGTGGTAGTCACCACTTTGAACTATAAATCTTAAAAAAGATTGAGAAACTGACAAAAATTTATTTATCTGTGACCTATGACTTAACCTGGCACAATGATGTCAGGTCAGATTAGGTAACATTATTTTTGCTAACAATATTCATGATTCATATCAACTTATATTTAATAAATATTGTTTATTCTGAGGTAATAATTCATCTCCTCACACAGATTACCTATCTTCCTCTGATGTCTTCCAAAGAGATTTGCTTGCCACTAACCTTGAGGCAACTCTCACGTAATTTCACATGAATTGTGCCACTGTATGATGATGTCATCATGCAACCAAAATTCTCCACTAATAGGAGGGTGGCACATCTATGTGCACTAACTCCCCCTTGTGCACTTGCACTTGTGAATTTTCATTCTTATCCTTGGCATTGTACTGTACAGAGGTGTTTCAATTCTTGTCTGTGTTCAAGTTATTGATATTTGCATCATTAACACTCTCGCTCCCGGCTATCCTTTACTGCACATGTCACAAAGTTTTAGTGACTAACATTGAAAGTTTTATTAATCTACTTTTTGTTTACATTATACCAATTAATATAGCATAAAATCTTAGCTAATAATCCATATTTTAATAGCATACAAGTTTTAAGTTTTTAATTTTAAAATGCAATATTAAATAAAATCCTTAATCTCCCCTAGTGTGGCAGATGTAACACATTTTCTCTAAGCATTTACTATTCTCTGTTTTATCCACCACCCCTCCAAGAGTATGAAATTAAATATAAAATCATCATTACTCAGACAAACCAAAATTTTTATAGCCTTCAATTTGTTTGGTTACAGAGCCATCAAATAGAAAATCAGACACCTCTTGCCACACCCACCTGTCACATCCTGTTTTTCAGGATTTGTTAATAGTTCTCTCTTACATTTAATTCTGTATTATATTACATTGTTTTCTGAATGGAGAATTGTCAATTTCACTGTTAATACAAGCTTCGTTCCCTGGTGAAAGATAACAACTAGCCTGAAAAATTGTGAGAGTTAGGGGAAATTGTCTGCTTTTTGCCTGTTATTATTCTGTGTTCTTTGGTACATTATTTAATTAAATATAAATTATTTAGTGCATTACTACCATTAATATAAAAAGTAGGGTTAAGTGTCATCGACAGTCAACAGCAGAAAAAAAGAATACTTGGGTAAGTACTTTATTTCTGCGCAGATAGCCCTCGTGTAGCTTTGCGCGAAATTCCAAAACAAACAAACAAACTTTATTTCTTGTTTTTTATTTTTTAATTATTATTATAAAAGTTACTAAAATGTAAAAATAGGGATCTCTTTAGGTTAGTTAGGTTAGAGTAGATAAAATAAATAATAATATAATAAAAATGTTCCTCGAGGCATGCATGTAAGCAGCTTGGAGTAACTCGTGGGTAATGTAAGTCAATAGTGTAATGTGAGCTCCACTTTCACCAAGTGAGTTACAACTTATAATGGCATGAATAGTAGTTGTACACAGTTCATAGGACAATAAAAGAATAAAATGTAATTATAAATAGATGTATACTATTACAAGTTTAAAGATATTTAAGATAAACAAATGTAGTTTCATGTTACAATTAGAAGTAATTTTAGAAAGAGAAAAAGGATTTAGATTTCTTTTTTCTTTTGGTGGTTATGAGGTTGGTCAAATTCACTGACCCTATATAGAGTTAGTGTAGAGAAAATAACAAATAGAATATGAAGTTTTACTGAAAACAAACGTTTGAAATGTATTTAGGAGGTTTTACAGATTACACAATTGAAATTTGAGATAAAGAAAAGTATTTTTAACCTTAACATGAAAATCACTTTGCACGCAGACTATTCAAAACAAATACTCAATATATTCAAGGACAAATCTTTTTTTTAGTTTATTTAAAATACTTCACTAAAAAATATGACTTTTTGTATATGAAAGACTTGTAATGTTTGCTGAAAGATTGCCACGTTTTGTGAAGATATACATACTGTATTAAAAGTTAGTGATATAAAATCTATAAAGACTTTAAACAAGTACGAAGAGGTCATGTGGTCGGTCAGATTGACCGAGCCTGTGTTGAGAGAGTTAATGAAACTTTGATTTTTGTTTTCTTTAGCTTCAAAATCTTTAATTTTTATTATGAATTTTCAAATGATGGTAATTTATACCTAGTGCTGAGTATGGGACATTGTTCACGCTTAGGCCTTATTTCTGCTGTGGATTTTAGAGGCTTGTTAATTCTCAGGGTCATTTTTCAACATGTTGTGGATTACTACATGCTTAACGGGCTTTCTAATCCTTTCTCCTCAGCCGAATTTCTCTCTCCTCAGTCAGGAAGGATCTATTAGACTATGACTTTGTTCTGATTGGTTTTACTATTTGGGAAACAATTTTAACTTTCCTCTCTCTGTCTCTGTATTTTATTCTCGGGTATGTTCCTTGCCATCTCTTTTTGCCCATGTTTCTTATTATTTTTCATATTCTCACTTTCTGACTCACAATTCTTGGGTTTATCTTGTCTTTACTTCTTTCTTGTTCTTGCTTCTTTCTCATGCCTAAATGTCTTGTCCCCCTTCCTTTTGTCCTGATATTTAGGCCTTCTTCCCTTTCTTTCCCAGTTCCCTGCTATTGATATCTATCTGTTCAGCTGAGAATCAAGCTCATTGCCTTCTATCTCACATTCTAGTTCCATATTTTTACATTTTTCATCTTTTTCTCTCTACCCTTCCATATTCCCTCTCCTAACTTCACCTTTTAATTTAGGCACGTATTTATGTTTCTGATAGTTCCTGGGTCTTGGACACTACTCTCCTTCTTGGGCCCTATTTTTATGCTTCATTGGCTCGCTTGATATTTGAATCCCCTCTCTTCCTTCTCACTTTCACACTTCCCTACTTCGTAGAGAGATATCTTACATCCACCCTTGCATTTGTATGATTTGTCATCAGTCGGGCCAGACTTTTCCACTATTGTGGCATTATTCTCATCACACTTTCACCATCATTCCATTGTATTTGTCTATCAACATCTGTGGCAGGTCTTTTATCATTGGTCCTTCTGCCCTCTTTCCTCCTGGCAGTAATTCTGTGCACGACCTTTAAGCCTTACCTAGTTGTTTGGTGGCCCTGTCCATGGCCTTTCTCCTTTCCTAGTACTAAGAAGTGTTTCTTCCATTGTCCTTTCCTTCCTCTTCCTCACCCAACTCCCTTGCCTGATTGAGACCTTAATGAGGTTTTGTGTTATATCATACATGTTCCATTCGAGCTATTGACTTCTTGGCTTTTTTACTGCATTTTTCTCCTGACTTGTTACCTCCTACTCCTCTTATCTGATGTCTTTCTTTTAGATGCTTCCCACACCCTCTTCCTGGACTGATCCTTTCTTCCTCAGATTTTGAATGTTTGGGAAGTATACTGCACTTCTCTGTTATCTACTTTCCTTCTGGCTCTCACCTATTATACCATTCACACCTATATTGACTCCTGTGTCCTGTTGGACAACTTGATATACCTTATCACAGACTTCTCCCTTTAGGGGTTCCTGCCTTTGTCTGTCTCTATCCTGGGACCCCTATTTTTTCCATGGACCTCTTTTCTTCTTCCCTTAGAGGATGAGTCTGTTAACTTCTCCATTGACATGTTCATCTTGGGATGTGGATGCTGGCATTCTATTTCTCTTTTCTTCACATTTCATTAATTATCTTTATTCTCTTGCATCTCTTCCCTGATGGTCCTTGGACGAGCTCCTTAAGGTGAACATATGGACTTTCTTCACACATTAATCTTCTCTACACCTTTTGACTGTTTTCTTTCCTGATGAGAAGAATGCATACTATTTATCTTTCAGAGCCCCTTATTCATCACATAGGATGACACCATGTGGTTGGTGTTGCCTCCTAGGATATACTTACCCAAAATCTGCATCGAGCCAATGGAAAGTGCTCATGCCATCCACCCTGGTTCTACGTATGTCTACTTTGAGATGGGATGTTCCGCAAGACCTTTTGAAGTATCCTTGTGGTGTGTGTGTGTATATATATATATATATATATATTTGCTCAACTACCCAATCCAGACCATATTTATTTCATGGATTATCATGGAAGAAGTTGGCACTAGGGAGGGTCTGTTCACTTCTCTGCCTTGAGCTTGCTGGCTGTTAAAAATAGGGATTCGCAGTCACCTGCTGCACTGTTTCTAGTAAAAGACCTTTCCAGACCAAAGAACTGATGGGGATATAGATACCTTCTCCATGTCTCCCCTGGGAGACCTTGCCACTTACCAGTTCCTAGCCACTGAGGTGGTGGACCATGAAGAACCTTCACTGATTGGAATTCAATTGCTGGGGCTAGAACCAGGAGTACCAGTGAGAAGTGAGGTGGTGGTAAAACTGTTAGTGTTGTGTAGGTCACCCCTCACATAAGTCAGATACATCACTGATGCCACCTGTGCCCTCCTGCAGCGTAAATCTGTTCAGTAGAGTTGAGGTGAGCATGCAATACATATGGACCTGTACTGCATAACATAGTGCAGATAGAATCTATTCTATAGTATTTGTTGAGTTGAATTGAGGTGAAGACTTGTTATACAATATCATTATGTATACATATATATCTGTTTCACCTCTCCTCCTCCTGCAGCCAATGTCTGTTCAGTAGGGTTGAGGTGACTACACTCTATACCAGTCCTTATTATCAGAATAATGTGCCCTCCTCCTGCAGTTGGTGTAAGACCTGTAGAGTCTAATAGTGGAGTTGAGGCAAGCACTCTGTACAAACCTGTGATGTATCTCCAACATACCCTCCTATCTCAGCTGGTGTTAGTCCCATAGAATCTGATGGCAGAGTTGAGGCATACACAAGTATCCATATTACTTAACAATATGCTCCCTCCCACAGCTGTAGTCTGACGTTAGAGTTGGGGTGAGCATGAGTACTAATGAGCGTGTGTCCTCCTCCCACAGTTGGTGTCAGTTTCATAGAGTCTGATAGCATAGGTGAGGTGAGCACAAGATGCCCCAACCACACTACAAGTTAGCTGTCCGACAACTTGAGTGAAAGTACTCAGACAGCCATGTTCTAGTTCCACCTGTTCCTGAGATACAAATTTGGCTTCTTTGCCTCTTTCCCCTTTACTGTAAGGGCAAAGAGTATACTTTGGACAAGACAAGATATGGTCTCCCACAGGTGTGCCCTTATGGACATCCTTCACATGTTTTCTGAAGGGTGCTCATTTGGGTAAGCATTGCAACAGCCCCTCAACCATATCAACATGAGATTCTAACTAATCTGTATGTGGAGGTGAGTTATCGTCTCAAACGTTAACATTTTCCTTACCTGATAACGTATTTCCAATGACATTCACCTCTCACACATTCTCACCCATCCTTCCCACTCCTGGTGCACATTTTCTTACTTGCCTTGTTGGAGAATGGAGATTCACTAGTGTCAATGCATAGGGAGAGTTAGTGTGCAAGGAGGTGTGGTGTCTTCCTATTGGTGGAGGGCTGTTGTTGCATGATGACATCATCATGCAATGGACAATTCATTTGAAATTGGGGTGGAGTTGTCTCATGGCTAGTGGTGTGCAAATCTCGTTGGCAAGGCATGCTGAAGAAGATAGCTAATTTGTGTAAAGAGATGAGTATCTATTGGAAATACATTTTCAGGTGAGGAAAATGTTAACTTTTCAATAGATAAGTTTTACTTGAAGCATACAATAAACTTGAAATGATATTTAAATAATAAATATTTCAGTCATTGGAAGTTTTTTTACACCTTCCATGCTCTCTAAACCTATTTCCATAGTTTTAACATATATTTTCATGAATAAAAAAGAACATTTAAAGAAACTAAAGTATGTGATCTCCCACCACTTTTTATTTAGTTGTTATTATTTCTGTTTACTTTTACTAACCAATTACTAATCTTGTCTTTTAGATAACAAATAAAGCTTATGATTGTTTTCAAATAGATATTTGCACATACTGATTTAATTAAATATATGTATTCCACAAGCTTATTTTTTTCTGTGGTGTCTTAGTAAAACTTAGCTACACCTATGTGGTATTTGAACTATGTTTCTTCTGTGGTAGAACTCTCTGATTCACTCAATTTTCAAAGCCTCAACTAGTTATCAAACATATGGGGTAAAATCTGTTTAAACTTTATTTATACCTATTTAGAAATCATTTGCATAAAGTCGCCAGGAAGCTGTATTATACTAGATTCTCAATCATGTTTAACTATATGAAAAACAATTATATGCATTAACACAAAAATTGAACAGTAAATGAAAAATTTCTTATCAGTTGTTTACTTTATACTAGCTGATGTACCCATTCAACACGTGGAAGACATGGGGCTTCCAAGGGTTTATAGGAGGTCAGTTTCTTTCACTGTATCATTCCCTGGAAGTCCATTAGAGTGTATGCTGGGTTTGGTGAAAATCAATCCAATAGTTTGCCAGATATAAGTCAACACATTTACAGACTTTTGTTAAATTATGGTTTAAGATGTGACTATTTCAAAATTTAAATCTTGTTTTGTTCTTCTCTTGTGATGTTCCTCTTATAGGACAATTATGATGTGGAATTTGTAAAGTTGGTGTATGGGACTCCTGCAGTAACAGTTCAACAGCTAACAAAAGGGTCTTTGAGCCACTCTAATCCAGTCAGAGTTACTTACACTTCTAAAGATACATTCAAAAAAGCAGCCAAAGCTCTAGGGATCATGGATGATTTCAAAGTAAGCATCAGGATCTCCTTGTTAGATTCTTGTGACTGTATTTAATTGACAAATATATTTTAAGCTCAGAATTTAAAAACAATATTATGTATAGGATAGTAACTTGTTTGTTCATAAAGTGAGTCAGTGTTGTATAGTTGTTTAAGTTCATTGGTTAAACAAAAAAAATGATGAAGAATATATGACACATTTAATTTCTTATTAATATTTGTTTTATATAGGGTAAGTTCACAAATTTGAAACTAACCTTTTCTGTGTTAATTTTTAATTATAACTACTGTTATCATAGTTTGACATAGTCTTTCTAAGATTTTATACAATGAATTAATGTATTTAAGAGCTCAAAAGTTTGCTATAGTAGGTTTATTGACATTAAGTCTTCTTGAACCATTGGAAGTGTTTTAAGAATATATATAGCTCTAAACATCACCACAATTCTGAAGTGTTTACGATTCTGTTAAAATATACTGTGCTTCACCAGCTTTGATATTGTAACCAGTGCATTTTAACATTGTCAAACATTCACATAACTAGCATTTCAACTTAGACTTTAGTTTGGTAATCCAACTGATCTGATAAGGGCTGCTCTGAAGCACGTATTTTGTTGGAGTGACTTAGAATGTAGGAAAATACTATCATAATTTTTTTTTTCACTTGTACTCATATTTGGTTGGTTAAATTTTAGAAGTGTTTGAGATCTTATTGTGGTGGTCTTCCTACTCATAAACAAAATGTAAATTCCAAAGTCTCTGAAACAGTTTTCTTTTTTATCCATTACATTTATACATTTAAAAATCTAAACTACAAATTAAAATGATGGGAACATGTATTATTAAAAATATATATATTATATAGCAATGGAAATAATCAATTTTAAGCACTTTCTTAAACTGTTCAAATGATGAATGCTACAGAACTTGTTTATGAAAGTGATTATAGTGTAGACTGTATAATACTAGGAAGAATATGCAACAAACTATATATTACTGGGAATGATATATGCTACAAAGTGTGTGACAACTGAAAATATTTCTTCCACAGACTTTGGCACAATAAGGAAAATTTATAAGAATTTAAGTGTGCTAAATATTGTGCTACATAGCTAAACCAGAGGAAGAACACGTGATACAAGATTTTGAACAGTGGTCATACTGATAAACTATTCTACGTATATTGGAAGGTCAAAGGACCTTTATAACAGTGGTAAGGATGTGTGATGTAGACTTGTCCTTATTGAAAAGACACAACCTTTGTAACAGTGGTAAGGATGTGTGATGTAGACTTGTCCTTATTGAAAAGACACAACCTTTATGATAATGGTAAGGATGTGTGATGTAGACTTGTCCTTATTGAAAAGATGCAACCTTTATAACAGTGGTAAGGATGTGTGATGTAGACTTGTCCTTATTGAAAAGACACAACCTTTATAACAGTGGTAAGGATGTGTGATGTAGACTTGTCCTTTATTGAAAAGACACAACCTTTATGACAGTGGTAAGGATGTGTGATGTAGACTTGTCCTTATTGAAAAGACACAACCTTTATAACAGTGGTAAGGATGTGTGATGTAGACTTGTTCTTATTGAAAAGACACAACCTTTGTGACAGTGGTAAGGATGTGTGATGTAGACTTGTCCTTATTGAAAAGACACAACCTTTATGACAGTGGAACAGATGTTTGAGGCAAACTTCTGTAATAGCTTGAAGGTTTGGCTATATATCTTGTAGCATTTGAAATAATATTGTTTAAATGATATAGACCAGAGAAGTATGGAAAATTTGTTATGGTACTTTATTTTTTTATTTTTACAAGCTTACAAAATATCTGTACAACAGACTTGAGCAGTTTCAGATTTTTCATTATAGAACTTGTAGCAGTTAGATGTGTATGGATGTATCAAACTAAACTCATTTCTTTTATATGGACCATTCAATGATGGGAAGACTAATTTCATACACCTTATAAGTGTGGAAAGTTTGTTTGCTACAGACCTTGATCACAGTTAGGCATATATGTGATTCTAACCTTGTAACATTGAGAAAGATGCATTGTATTAGTTTGTTGACTGTTTCACCGAGTCCATTATTGTATTAATTATCTCAATACAATGTAATCTGCATTAATAATATTCCATTAAAGGTCATCAAAAAGTATGCAATGTCAGGATTATTTTGCTCATTTAACCTTTTATTTATCATGTTTTTTTTTGTTTTTTTTCCCCTTTATGCATACATAACAAGTGGTGCAACTGCTTCTTTTTTTTACATAGTCTGGAGTGCCTCGAACAGGATATCGTGGGGTAGTAAGTTTTTTATATAAACGACGCTGGGTGTACCTTGCCCCTACAGCAGAGTGGAAAGGATATGATTCAACGTGGAGTTAACAAGAATTCCTGAACTTTGATATCAAGCTCTTGTGTTTGAAGCTTTAAAAGGCCTTGCTTTTTTTGCACTAAGAAAGTTGTTTCATGAGAACTTATTTTGAATCTAACATTGACAAGTTACCTGCAGATTTTAACTGAACCAAATCTTCACCTGAATTACTCAGTAAAGACAAATATTAAGGCCAAATTAGTGCCTTGGCAAAGTGGATTAAACTGCTTGAAGCTACCAAAACCATAACAAACTTGTATCACAACTTGTGGTGAATACATTTACTGTGATTGAAGTTAAGACTGGCTTGAACATAAAGCAGTGAAAGTAGTTCTTTAAGGTCTGTGTGTAGAAGTTTTCAGATCATGATGTGAGTACATATATTTAACTGAAAATACATTTATGACTTGAATTCTCATATATGCATAATTTTATTTTATGAGTTTTAAATCCTTGTGCTGGGACGCATGACAGGCATGACATTAGCGATTAAACATGAACTTGATTACATAATGTTAGGTTCAAGAATATTCTGGTTGGGCTTGGTAAAAAAATCAGCATCTAAACAGTAGTGTGAGCCACAGCTCAGGGCAGACTATTTACAGCTTTTTGGATTGTATGTTTTAATCATCTTAGCTATTAAAAATTTTTAACCAAGTAGGGAATTTTCCATTGCAATCTCCAAATGTTATGCCTATCAAAGCATCCAGAACAGAGATAATAAACTCACTTAAAATAAGGATTACTTGGACTATAAATTTATTTAATAAAAAGTTTGTGTTTTGATTTTCATCAACTTCAAATGATCTGTAAAATGTAGTTTTGTTTCTTTCAAAAATACCATCTGTGATGATTTTCTGAAACTATGGTTAAACAAAATTTCTTTTTTTTTGGTTGTTTAATCACTTGTGACATTATAGGCTAGCTTAGAAATATAACTCTTGTGATGTTTGGTAACAATAATAGATTCTGAGCATGCATGTTTAATAGTCAATCAATTTTATGTTTTACATAGAATTTATACCTTTAAACTGATGAAATTAAAAGACACGTCATTTGAACATTTCCATAGACTGGTAAGAGAACATTATAAATCATAGCCTGCTTGATTTAACATACATTAATAACTTCAGAATCTCGAAGGGGATTTTTTGTAAACTTAATCTTTCGAACATGATAATATTTTCAGAATTTATTCTCGTGAATCACTTTTTACAGCAAATGCTAAATGTTTTTTGTTTATAGCTGTTTAGGGAAAAACATCTCAAATTTATGTTGATACTCAGCACAGTAATATAGCTTATTACACCTAATGCTCAGATAGCAAATAAGCCTTCCATTTTTGATTTAATATTAAAAAAGAATGGATGCTTAACTTTATATGCATAATTTATTTGCATAGTTTAAAATCCCTAAATGAAAAATAGTAAGGACTAAGTTATTTCTGAACTACTTTCAGTTATTTCCATGCTATTGAAAAGTTAAATGTACTGTATAAATTTTAACTTAATAAATCCATCATTACGATATATAAATATATATTTTAATTTCCTGATAAAGTTTCCCGACTTTAGAAATTAGTTGTTCTTTTCTTGAAAACTTCTTACTTCCTTTTCCTAGAATTGTAACTCTGTGCAATTTATTTTTTAGGACTAGAGTCATCTAGCTTTGTCTTCTTAATTTACTATTATTTTGTCGCTGCTTGCTTGATGTGCAACTTCTATACTGAAAGAAACTGTGTTGATATCATTAAGTAGCATTTCTTTTTTTATGTGAGATGTATTTAATCTGGAAAATTGAGTGAGGTGTACACCAAAGAGTTTTCTGAATCTGTAGTTAACAAGTTGTATGTTTGACATAGTGAACGTTTTTTAGCTTTTAAGTCTTAAAAAGGAAGAGGATTTCTATCTAGTTATTTTAAAATTGGAAATTTGTCGTAGTGTATTAGTATATATATGTGTGTGTGTGTGTGTGTGTGTGTGTCTGAAGGTATATTTTAAACATTCAAAAATCCTATCAAAAGCTGACCATCAACAAAAAGTCACTTTCATGTTAGTTTCTAATGAAGTTTTATTACTCTTATGTAATTACTTTTATTCAAGATTTTAGTGATAAAAATGTACAATGTTATTTTTAATAATTTGGTGATGTTAGAAGTTTAAGAAAAATACTTTAAGGAGTAACGTAGGTAGAAATAAAGTGTTCCAAAAATTAAATCAGAAAGAATTGTTTAAAATATACAAATGGTTAACTCCTACACTTAACCTACTGTCATTTCTTTGTGCTTTGTTTAGACAAAGCATTAATTTTATTTTTGCTAAACATGGTCTTCAAATTTATTTTGCAACTCGGTAGAAGAGGTGATAAAATGAGTTTTAAAATCATAAAATTATTAGAATATGATATTTCAACACAACCTTTAAACTGCCATTATAACCTGAACATGAAACTTCTGTACAATATTATTTGTAATATATGTTGATAAAAAAAACAACAAAAAAACGCTTGCATCAGAATTGGTGAAGTTACTTTTGTTGACATTTAATACAGACCTAACAGGTTATAGTATCGTCAGTTCAAACATCTATCCATATTTATTAAAAGCACATTTCTGTTTAATTCAACCATTTGTATGTGATACTTTGACAAATATAATATTACAAGAGTTCCTGTATTATCGTAGCTTCAAGTTGGGTTTAACCATATCGCCAGCACAGTTTTCATTACTAAGCAATGTACTAGTGTTAATAATATTTATACAAGTAAACTTAAACTCCAGAAAAACAGCAGCTTGTTGATCCCTCTATATTAGCAGTAAATAATTGCGTATATACATAACCGTGTATAAAACAGTCTTTGTTTATTGCTATTGTAAAAAAAAACTATTCTATTTATCGTGTGTGTGTGTGTGTCCAAAATTGTAGAATTCAATGACAATAACAAAAAAAAATTCAAAAGAACAAGTGTGCAGTTGAAATTGGTTAAGTCTGTTTTATCCAGCTACAAATATTGTTTACAAAGCCATAATTCGTATTTATTTTATGCCACTTGCTGAGTGTGTTAACACTAAGGTTATTTATAGATAGGAGTGTTTTTTTATGTGTGCCAAAGTCAGAGAGATTTGTGAAATAATTCTTAGAATTATTTTCCAGCGATAAACGATACCTTTTATCATTATTTGTGTATAGCGATTCTGAAGTAAATTCTGATAATAGTGATATTGAATTATTGTCGCCACATGTATTAGGTTACTTACCTATAATGTGTTGAACGGCATCAGGAGATTTTTAGGTGTTGTAGTGCTAGAAATTTTTTAATCGAATTGCTTGAAGAACATGCTGGTTTATAGACGTTCAGAACACTCCTATAAAATTATTTTAGTTTGTGGTTGGTTTTACAAGTTTACTTAATTTTACCGAACTTCATTATAGAAAATTCTACATTTTAGACTTTGCACAATTAAGATCGTTGGCATGCATGTTGGTATCTTAATGATCATACACCAATAAAACAGGTAACTTTGTACTTACTACTAGAATAAGAGAAACAGATTATTGTATCATGAGTTGTTAAACTAGCGTTCATTGTCTGTACAGAGGAAACAATAAAAGTTGATGTATAAAATCGTTTTGAAGTGACACAAGAAAGTGTGGTGTGTAGTCTAAGAATTTTTTACTAGATGATTTTATTTCTGCCACCTTGTGTATGCCTGATCAGTATAGTATGTGTTTTCAGAGTGAATAAATACCATACCACGACTTCTGTTGTTTTACTTATTCAGTTGAGCAAAATGTACAGTAATACGTTCAAGGACTGAAAGTCAAATCCGGAAGTTCAAATCATGTACCTTACAAAGTGTATGTGATTCAAAATACTTAAAGAAAATTATCAATATATAATAAAAAACCTCTTTACATTTTTCGGCATCTTATAACTTAACTCTCAACTGGTAGGGTAAAATATTTGTATTGTAAGTGGTAGTGTGGGTCAACATTACCTATATTTAATAAATTTCAAACAATATCTTTATAATACGGTGGGTCAAAATGTCCCACAAATGATTACAGCAGTAATGAAAGAACTGCAACAACACATCCGCTCTGCTCGACACTCAAGAACTGATTGAGGATAATAGAGTACCGAAAATATCAGTTAGAGAGCAGCACTAGTTGAGTTGGAATATCGACTTGCAAAATATCTACATGGATCATTCTGACCCCACCCTCCCAGTTCAGGGTTAAAACATTTAATTATCCAGTGCATGAAACATTTTTCCTTTGTAGTCGACGACTGTGGTTTTATTCTACAACGTGTCTCGAGATACTTTACTTTTAATATAGCTAAATCTGTGGGTCGATACCCAGCGATGGACACAGCAGATAGCCCAACCTGGCTTTGCTCTAAATCAAACAAACTATAGCTGGTTAGGAATATTTCGGAGCGTATACTGCAACATATTATATAAGAATTTAATTATTTAAAACAATTACTACACAACTATATGAACATAGATTTGATAAAGTTACAATATCTTTAAAGCCAAATATTTTAAGCAAGAGTTCGTTTCAATTTCCAAGTTTTATTTTGTGAATACTCTAATGGAATATCCATCTAGTGAGATTATAAATCATCAGTGTAAATTAACTCTTGCTTATCCATCAAAAGTTATCTGTTACTTATGAACGTTTGCAAATAAACATTCCGAGAATTAAACTTTTGCATACGTACGATTTTAATTTAAGTTGCAATCCGTTCTCAGTTAGAAATTGTGACCAACAAAATAATAAGAGAGCACGTGTTCTTGACATGTATAGGCATGTTAAAAGCATTTAGTAAAATACGGCTTCCAATATTTCACACGTAACTGGCTGGATTGGATAATGTTAGAAACACTCCTTTATGTATACGCTTGATTTTGAGCTGTCGTGGCTACTTCAAATGATCGCGTCCGTTATTAATGAGTGTAATACAGGACAGGTTTCAAGTATATTGCATTTAAAAGTAATATTTATTAACGTAATTCGTGTACCTATTTTCACTCAATTTCAGATTGTTAATCGTATATAATCATACTACCATGTCTGGTAACATCATTTGTTACGGTTGTGTTTTTTGGTAGTTTATTTAACTTAATTTTGAAATACTTTGTCCAAAAGCATACAACCAGTGTAGAGAAACACCTAATTATAAGGCTCATCATGTTTCATATTTTTAAGCCTCCCCAAAAATGCCTTTAATTTTTCGTGGTATTAACTTTATAAGTATTGCTGTAATGTTGTTTAGAAAACAACATCTTATTTTAATATAGGTTTAAAATAAAAAACTGGATTAATATAATACAAGGCAAACTTCAAGATATTGATAGAAATGTTTAAAGGGAAAGAATTAGAGTATTAACTTATTTTCTCTTGTTATATTGCATTTAAAATATAATAACGGTGAATAATATTTTTTTGATTTAACCAATCAAAAAGTCTGAGAAAATATGCGTAAATCAGGAACATTGTTATATGGTGGTTTGTTTACCTTTTGCGTGTAAGACTAATTTCATTACAGTGCGAGTTATTAAATCCAAATTAACTAAGAATAGTAACGCCTTATCAGTGTACATAGGAAGTGTTAAAAAGAAGAAGCGTGTGAAGAGAGTATTTTTAGTCACTGCATTTTTTCTTAACACGCGGAGGTATTCTAATATAGTGTGGCACATACCTTGGTCTCTATAAATGCTGCTATTCTGGGAGAGAGTGATCTCAACTAGGTTTTGACAAGTGTTTAATGCAGTTTGATTCCACTGTTGTTTTAAAAGTTGTGCTAGTTAATTAAGGATATCTACGGAATTATTAGGGGTGTTTTTTCAAGCCTTTAGTAAAAACACCCCTAATAATTCCGTAGATATTCTTTAACCCAGATTATCTGGGTCGGCTACTCCAAGATGTTGTTGATAATACCTGGTAGTGGTCGTACAAGCTTTGTGATAGAGAGAATTATTCTGTCGGAACATCACATTGGCCTGCTGACCTAAAAAATAAAAAATACAACAATGTGGCTCCTGAGTGAGTCATTTTAAGAAATTACGATAATAGTTGGCATTTATTTTAATGTGTAAAGTGTTTACAACTGAGCTCGTCTCTCAGTGTGCTTGATCTCAGTGTGCTTGATCCAGCCCGCACCATAATCCTCCACAGGTGTTACAAGCTGATATTTTCACCTACTTGCCGTATTTGGCTTTTATTAATCATTATACAAAATTCGTGCCCAATTCTAGTGCTGACAAGCTTTGTTAGGGTCGCATACTTCAGTCCTTCCAAAGTACCAAAATGAATATAAAGTGCTTAGTAATAAATCTTGTGATGGAAAAAGTAGAAGAATTGAAATTAAAAGTTTGTGCCCCCCCCCAAAAAAAAGTTCCGGGTTTTGTTTGATGGGCTTTACTGGTTTGGTTTTTTTGGAATTCCGCCCAAAGCTACACGAGAGCTGTCTGCGTCAGCTGTCCCTAATTTAGCAGTGACAGACTAGAGCGAAGGCAGTTAATCCACTCCACCCACCGCCAACTCTTTGGCTACTCTTTTTACCAACGAATAGTGGGATTGACCGTAACATAACGCCCCCACGGCTGAAAGGGCGAGCATGTTCGGTGTTAGAGGCTTTACTGTGGTAATTTCTTAATTATCACGCACATATATTATTACACAGAACAAAAACAATATTTATTCCTATCTAAACTCATGCATCCCAGAAAAATGGAAATAAAAGTAAATAAAGCAGAAACACTTGAGGTAAAACTAAAGGAAACGATCGAAACTAAATATAGAGTAAAATGGAATTAAACTTCTTTATTTCAACAATATCAAACAGAACAAAGGACAAAATTTAGAATCGCTTTCCAGGCCGTCTGGACACCTTGTTTTTAAAACTGGAACTCATTCAAAAATGACGTCACCTATTTACTCGCTGATCCTTAATTATTTTGCAACGAGACGAGACTGTTGAAGTATTTTCGAATGAATTTAAAATAGAAATAAATCAATTTATGAGAAAGAGAAAAAATGTTAGTGATCTATATATGCTCAGTCAGCTAATCGATAAAACTATAAAGGCCGCGTCTTAAATAACTTTTTTAAAGTGTGCGAACAGCTATGAGTTTCTTTTTTTTTACGTCTGTGAAATAGGAAAAATACGTATCTCAAAATAGATTTTTGATGCTTCTGTTTTGTTAGGAAATTATTGTGCACACAGTGAATCATTCAGTACGTATCCCCCGGTGGTACCTACAACGCTAAAATCCAAGGTTAGATTCCCCACGGTGGACACAGCAGATAGCGGCTTTGCTTTAAAATAAAACAAACTTTCAGTATGCGTTCTAGGAACTGACAAAAACAAACACGTTTGTTTCTTGATGTATTGGTATATGGAATTATATCTAAGATTCTGACAGGTTTCGATACACGTGAAGGGGCAGAGCATACATAAGACATTCTGTAGCTATCTGTTTGACAACAACCAAACACAAAAAGTTATAGAATGCTAATATTTTAGGTCTTCTATAGCTATCTGCTTAACAACAACCAAACACAAAAAAGTTATAGAATGCTAATATTTTAGGTCTTCTATAGCTATCCGCTTAACAACAACCAAACACAAAAAGTTATAGAATGCTAATATTTTAGGTCCTTCGTTTGTTTTTTTTTCAGATTAGAGGAAAATTATAAGTATATCCATAACTTAATTAGTGTACTTTAGAAAAAAGGTTAGATCATTGTGAATATATTTTTAATCCATATAAATATAATAATACTGTTCGTTGTATGTCCATGTAACTACTTCGCAGGGTGTGGATGGATATTCATCAAAAATGGTACGGAGGTTCATTAGGTCCATACAAATTTTCAGTTTTGCATTTTTCGGTTTTTATGGACGTTTTTTAGCACTACTTCGCCCCATGTTGATAGATCTTCACCAAATTTGGTATGGATGTTCATTAGGTACATGCAAGGGTACATGTTAATTTTACGTTTTGCACTTTTTATGGGCGCTTTTCACAATTACATACAAGGGAAGCAACTGTTCATGTCCTTAATCATGAATTTACATAACTTCCGTCCAGCTAGTTATCTATATAGAATTTGTCATTCAAGGAGCTATATTTTCCAAACACCTGATGAGTACTTATAAACAAACGCATTTTTTTATTTCACAGCATAATATTGAAAAAAGAAGAAGAAAATAAACCTTTTCTCAGATTTCTTTTTTTTACTCAGAACATCACCATATTCAAACATCCCCAACCCCATGGAACTTTTCTGAGAGTCATAATTATCTTCTGTCACACTCTAAACTACTGTTTTTCGTGCATTGTCGTCTGAGGTATATATATTTCTTATGATTTAATATACAATTTTTCTTGCTTTAAAATACACAAAATAATTAGGTTTATTTGTGATCTTCGGTGAGCCAGCGGTAGACTTACGGAGTTACAATGCTAAGATCCGGAGTTCGGTCCCCCGTGGTGGACCAAGCGCAGAAAGCCCTTTGTGTAGGTTTGCGCTGAAACAGTAATATCAAGTATATTTGTTATTAAGCACAAAGCTTAGGTACCACAGCGTTTGAACTTTGAATTTTATTGTTATAAGCTCTCAAGCATGCTGCTTTTAAATAAGCTTAGTTATTTTATAATATAACAAACTCTTCTTTAAAAAGTTGTTTGAAGATGTTTATTATCAATGCAAAACATCCTCAAAGTAAAACAAGTTATTAGTAGT